TTCTCGCTCAACGCTCATCACGCAATGCTCTCCCACGTCGCTAGATTCACCCACATTCGCCCTTCCCCGCTGGCTCCCCCGCGAGCACCAACGCACCCCCCCGATGCACCTCCCCTTCTCATCTCTGGCGCATGATCTCCCTCGTTCCCTCTATCCCGCCTTTCCCACTTCCCTGCCTGCCTCTTCTCCCCAAATCTGCTCTTCTGCTCCGCCCCCTATTCCGCCTCCTTCCCCTCCTCGCCTCGCGTCTGCCAAACTCAAACAGCACGTGCCCGCAACCCCCTTTTCTCCTCCCCTCCCTGCGCCTCCCCTCCCCGCTCCGCCTCCAATCCACCCACGTGCGGCCAACCTTCACTGCTACCCCCGTCTGCGCTCACCCACCCACGTCACTGCTACCCCTGTCATTGCTACCCCCGTCACTGCTACCCCCGTCCCTCTTCGCGCTACCGCCGCCACTCCGGTCTGTGCTGCTCACAGCGACACATGCTTCCGCCGCCGTCGCCTCCACTGTTTCGGCCCGCTTCCGCAGCTGGGAGCTTAACCTGCGCGCGCGTGTTGGTCCCACCCGGCGCCATTACCGATTTGCCTCGCGCATCTGCTCCCACGGCTCTCCACCATCGCATGTCGGTCTTTGTCGCTTATCTCCGTCGACAATCGCTCAATTGCGCAATCCGTCGCTCTCTTATCACTGTACGTCGCGCTCTGTCATTGCCTGCTTGTCGCTCTGTCGCAGTGGCGCGGGCTTCTACCTCCTCTTCACGCCACCACCGCCGTCGCCGCCGCTCTGATCTGTGCTGATCGCAGCGACGCGGCTGCTTCCGCCGGTGTCACCGCCGCCGTCGCCGCCGCTGTCTCGACAGCCCTGCCTGTGCACCCGTGCTTGCACCGCCCGCCATTGCTGTCGTTTTTAATCGCTATCGTCGTCTACCGTCGCTCGTCGTCTACCGTTGCTCGTCGCTCTCTCATCGTCTACCGTCGCTCGTCGCTCTCTCATCGTCTACCGTCGCTCCTCTGCTATTCCATTTTTGTCGTCCACTGGTCCTTTTCCGCCGTCGACGATCGCGGTTTTGTCGCCGTCCGTCGCTCTATCGTCTCCCTGTCGCTCGCTTTGACGCGACCGCTATCGAGCCACTAAACTGACGCCCCATCTTGAACGCGGGTCATGTGTACTCCAACAGAGTTGAGAAAGCCGCCATTGTTTGCCAAGTGTAGGCGTAACGCAATGTAGGCTCATTCGAGAAAATTGATTCGATGAACCAACTGTTATGGGTGCGAGGCTCTTAGAAACTACGGAACCGATGTCCTATGAGTGTCTAAAACGAGGATAAAATATTTAGAGTCGAGCTAGGCGAGGACCTCGGGGGCGAGGCTCGGGATATGACAAAAGGTCCGGTAGCGATTTGGAAGTGGTTCGGAGCGAATTTGTAGGCCGAACCAGTTTATACAAACTCTTCGGAATATACCGGCGCAAGCCAAAGCAGTCTACAGAAATAGATTTACATTCCCTTATACAAAGTAATGAACCAACTTCTAGATACTACTTTGGATCAAACCCCATCAGTTTCTCTGCTAATTTAACCATCACATGGAAACATTAACGCGCTACAACGCATACGAACTTAGCTAGTGCAGGGCAATTAATTACGTAACTCACACCTATCACTTTTTATATTTTTCTAGACGAAGAGGAACACAACCGGACCGGTTGTTGTTTGGTACTAGATTTCCCCTGCATGACTCTGCATTGACTGTAGAAAGTCTTGGTTGCAGCCTGTTCGGCTCGTGGACGCCAGCAGACTTCAATTTCTTGCTGCAAGAAATGAAGCTCGGAGATGCAAGGATAAGAGATGAGGTGTGTGTGAGGGCAATGGATTGAAATAGAAAGAGATGAGGAAAGTGTGAGGGCACTGCAGTGCAAGCAAGAGGTGAGGAGATGGTGGGGGGGGAGGGGGGGGGAGAGGGAGTGTTTGAAGATTGAAATGTTGCGCTTGAATGTGGCAGCATCTGATAGGATGGATGAGACGGCCGCTTCAAGACTGCCCGCCCGGTGTGTGGTGGCATGGGAGAGAGGGTAGCCGGGGGGTGAGAGGGACGCAACGACCACAGCTGCATCAAGGGGTGAATTCTGCATGCAGCGACGTCTGATGGGATGGATGCGAGGACCACAACAGGTGATGAACAACTCTTCAAACAATCCACGATAGGGCCAAGTCAAGAGTTGTTTGTTGTGGGGGCCGTCTGGTGGATGGTGCCATGTGGAAGAGGTTACGGGCGCGGGGAGCATGTGGAGGGGCAGGTGCCATTGGGTGGATGGGGGTGGTTTGAGGTGCTAATGCTATGAGCAGCGGCATATGAGAGGGTGGACGGATGGGAGGGTAGCGTCAAGCAAGAAGCGGACAAAGCGGAAGGAGGGGTTGGGGTGGGTGGATAGGGATGGTTTGAACGTTGAAGGCTGCATACGCGCAAAAAAAATCCAAAACCAATCCTCTCAGCCTTCATGAATGCTTGAGACTCTTTGAGAATTCTAACCATTGTGTACGAGGGAAAGAATCTTGCAAATCATTAAAAAAAAAAACTTCTTATCATCACCCTCCCACCATCCTTCCCCTACCCCCTGCCCAACACTTCCTCCCACCACCTCCTCTCATCACATCACCTGTCCCTCAACTTGAGAAGTTGTTTTACTTCGACTTGGAATATTTCAGGGCTAGATCTGCGAAGATCTAGCATTTCCCGCCAGATCCACACAAATTTGGCATGATTGTGGGTGACAGGCAGGATGATTTGCGTCGAGTTTTGATGGACTCGCTCGAGGGGAGGGGGATTTGCGAGTTTATACAAGCCAACCATATGTTCAAGTTACGGGCCGTGCCTCAGTTTAAAAACAGATGGACGAGTTTTGCCCGCCTCCATGGCACAAAACAAGCTTGGTCAGAATGAGTCGAGGAAAACTTGACTCATCATATGCCCATGTCTCCAAACAACACCTTGAGGGGGACTCACCCTGAGGGGGTCTTTCTAGAACGCCCTGAAAATCAGTCACAGCATGCCCCCTTCCTTCCGGTAGCCCTGACCCAAAACCACCTTGTGGGTTCCCTTTGAAGTGCCCACTTGCTTGACCCACGCTTGACTTGCTCGAGCCGCCTTGACTTGCCTTCACTTTTTTACCCGTGCGTGTCTTTTGTAACCCACGCTTGCCCCACACAGAATCCTATTTTGACTTGCTGGACCCACCTTGACTTGCTTGAATCACCTTATTGTTCCTACCCATGCGTGACTTGCGTGACCCGCCCTTGCCCCAGGTACAACCCATTTTTACTTGTTTGACTCACTTTGACTTGTGCTGCCACGTAGGGAGTGCTGAAGCCACAGCAGATGCCGATCTGGGATAAGAAAGAGAGGCAGAGGTATGAAGACAGGGTTGGTGGAAAGGCGCGGAGGAAGAAGGAGATGCGGTGCAGTGCAGTGCGGTTTGAAAGAATGCTCATCCTACACAAGGTGCGCTGAAGCCACAGATGGTGCCGATCTGAGGCGAGACAGAGATGGGAGGCACAGGGACGGGGATGGGAAGAAATAATACTATCAATGTTGCACCTCAAAACTTCAACGCATGGTGGCACGTAGGGAGCTGAGGGCACAGCGTCCAGACGCGTCCAGACGCGTCCAGTTGCGTCCAGACGCGTCCAGTTGCGTCCAGACGCGTCCAGTTGCGTCCAGACGCGTCCAGACGCGTCCAGTTGCGTCCAGACGCGTCCAGTTGCGTCCAGACGCGTCCAAACGCGTCCAGACGCGTCCACACGCATCCAGACGCGTCCAGTTGCGTCCAGACGCGTCCAGTTGCGTCCAGACGCGTCCAGTTGCGTCCAGACGCGTCCAGTTGCGTCCAGACGCGTCCAGTTGCGTCCTGACGCGTCCAGTTGCGTCCAGACGCGTCCAGTTGCGTCCAGACGCGTCCAGTTGCGTCCAGACGCGTCCAGTTGCGTCCAGACGCGTCCAGTTGCGTCCAGACGCGTCCAGTTGCGTCCAGACGCGTCCAGTTGCGTCCAGACGCGTCCAGTTGCGTCCAGACGCGTCAAGTTGCGTCCAGAGGCGTCCAGTTGCGTCCAGACGCGTCAAGTTGCGTCCAGACGCGTCAAGTTGCGTCCAGACGCGTCCAGTTGCGTCCACACGCGTCCACTTGCGTCCAGACGCGTCCAGTTGCGTCCAGACGCGTCCAGTTGCGTCCAGACGCGTCCAGTTGCGTCCAGACGCGTCCAGACGCGTCCAGACGCGTCCAGACGCGTCCAGACGCGTCCAGACGCGTCCAGTTGCGTCCAGACGCGTCCAGTTGCGTCCAGACGCGTCCAGTTGCGTCCAGACGCGTCCAGTTGCGTCCAGACGCGTCCAGTTGCGTCCAGACGCGTCCAGTTGCGTCCAGACGCGTCCAGTTGCGTCCAGACGCGTCCAGTTGCGTCCAGACGCGTCCAGCTGCGTCCAGACGCGTCCAGCTGCGTCCAGACGCGTCCAGTTGCGTCCAGACGCGTCCAGTTGCGTCCAGACGCGTCCAGCTGCGTCCAGACGCGTCCAGTTGCGTCCATACGCGTCCAGTTGCGTCCAGACGCGTCCAGTTGCGTCCAGACGCGTCCAGTTGCGTCCAGACGCGTCCAGTTGCGTCCAGACGCGTCCAGTTGCGTCCAGACGCGTCCAGTTGCATCCAGACGCGTCCAGTTGCGGGAATGGGTCAAGGGACTGAGGGAATGGGTCTGGGACTGAGGGAATGGGTCAAGGGACTGAGGGAATGGGTCAAGGGACAGAGGGAATGGGTCAAGGGGCAGAGGGAATGGGTCAAGGGACTGAGGGAATGGGTCAAGGGGCTGAGGGAATGGGTCAAGGGACTGAGGGAATGGGTCAAGGGACTGAGGGAAGGGGTCAAGGGACAGACCGAATGGGTCAAGGGACTAAGGGAATGGGTCAAGGGACTAAGGGAATGGGTCAAGGGACTAAGGGAATGGGTCAAGGGACTAAGGGAATGGGTCAAGGGACTGAGGGAATGGGTCAAGGGACTGAGGGAATGGGTCAAGGGACTGAGGGAATAGGTCAAGGGACTGAGGGAATGGGTCAAGGGACTCAGGGAATGGGTCAAGGGACTCAGGGAATGGGTCAAGGGACTGAGGGAATGTCTCAGGGGACTGAGGAAATGGGTCAGGGGACTGAGGGAATAGGTCAGGGGACTGAGGGAATGGGTCAGGGGACTGAGGGAATGGGTCAAGGGACTGAGGGAATGGGTCAAGGGACTGAGGGAATGGGTCAAGGGACTGAGGGAATGGGTCAAGGGACTGAGGGAATGGGACAAGGGACTGAGGGAATGGGTCAAGCGATTTAGGGAATGGGTCAAGGGACTGAGGGAATGGGTCAAGGGACTGACGGAATGGGTCAAGGGACTGAGGGAATGGGTCAAGGGACTGAGGGAATGGGTCAAGGGACTGAGGGAATGGGTCAAGGGACTGAGGGAATGGGTAAAGTCAAGGGACTGAGGGAATGGGTCAAGGGACTGAGGGAATGGGTCAAGGGACTGAGGGAATGGGTCAAGGGACTGAGGGAATGGGTCAAGGGACTGAGGGAATAGGTCAAGGGACTGAGGGAATGGGTCAAGGGACTCAGGGAATGGGTCAAGGGACTGAGGGAATGGGTCAAGGGACTGAGGGAATGTCTCAGGGACTGAGGGAATGGGTCAAGGGACTGAGGGAATGTCTCAGGGGACTGAGGGAATGGGTCAGGGGACTGAGGGAATGGGTCAAGGGACTGAGGGAATGGGTCAAGGGACTGAGGGAATGGGTCAAGGGCCTGAGGGAATGGGTCAAGGGACTCAGGGAATGGGTCAAGGGACTGAGGGAATGGGTCAAGGAACTGAGGGAATGGGTCAAGGGACTGAGGGAATGGGTCAAGGGACTGAGGGAATGGGTCAAGGGACTCAGGGAATGGGTCAAGGGACTGAGGGAATGGGTCAAGGGAGTGAGGGAATGGGTCAAGGGACTGAGGGAATGGGTCAAGGGACTGAGGGAATGTCTCAGGGGACTGAGGGAATGGGTCAGGGGACTAAGGGAATGGGTCAAGGGACTGAGGGAATGGGTCAAGGGACTGAGGGAATGGGTCAAGGGCCTGAGGGAATGGGTCAAGGGACTGAGGGAATGGGTCAAGGGACTGAGGGAACGGGTCAAGGGACTGAGGGAATGGGTCAAGGAACTGAGGGAATGGGTCAAGGGACTGAGGGAATGGGTCAAGGGACTCAGGGAATGGGTCAAGGGACTGAGGGAATGGGTCAAGGGAGTGAGGGAATGGGTCAAGGGACTGAGGGAATGGGTCAAGGGACTCAGGGAATGGGTCAAGGGACTGAGGGAATGGGTCAAGGGACTGAGGGAATGGGTCAAGGGACTGAGGGAATGGGTCAAGGGACTGAGGGAATGGGTCAAGGGACTGAGGGAATGGGTCAAGGGACTAAGGGAATGGGTCAACGGACTGAGGGAATGTCTCAGGAATGGGTCAAGGGACTGAGGCAATGGGTCAAGGGACTGAGGGAATGGGTCAAGGGACTGAGGGAATGGGTCAGGGGACTGAGGGAATGGGTCAAGGGACTGAGGGAATGGGTCAAGGGACTAAGGGAATGGGTCAACGGACTGAGGGAATGTCTCAGGAATGGGTCAAGGGACTGAGGCAATGGGTCAAGGGACTGAGGGAATGGGTCAAGGGACTGAGGGAATGGGTCAAGGGACTGAGGGAATGGGTCAAGGGACTGAGGGAATGGGTGAAGGGACTGAGGGAATGGGTCAAGGGACTGAGGGAATGGGTCAAGGGACAGAGGGAATCGGTCAAAAAACTGAGGGAACGGGTCAAGGGACTGAGGGAATAGGTCAAGGGACTCAGGGAGTGGGTCAAGGGACTGAGGGAATGGGTCAAGGGACTGAGGGAATGGGTCAAGGGACTGAGAGAATGGGTCAAGGGACAGAGGGAATGGGTCAAGGGACTGAGGGAATGGGTCAAGGGACTGAGGGAATGGGTCAAGGGACAGAGGGAATGGGTCAAGGGACTGAGGGAATGGGTCAAGGGACTAAGGGAATGGGTCAACGGACTGAGGGAATGTCTCAGGAATGGGTCAAGGGACTGAGGCAATGGGTCAAGGGACTGAGGGAATGGGTCAAGGGACTGAGGGAATGGGTCAGGGGACTGAGGGAATGGGTCAAGGGACTGAGGGAATGGGTCAAGGGACTAAGGGAATGGGTCAAGGGACTGAGGGAATGGGTCAAGGGACTGAGGGAATGGGTCAAGGGACAGAGGGAATCGGTCAAAAACTGAGGGAACGGGTCAAGGGACTGAGGGAATAGGTCAAGGGACTCAGGGAGTGGGTCAAGGGACTGAGGGAATGGGTCAAGGGACTGAGGGAATGGGTCAAGGGACTGAGAGAATGGGTCAAGGGACTGAGGGAATGGGTCAAGGGACTGAGGGAATGGGTCAAGGGACTGAGGGAATGGGTCAAGGGACAGAGGGAATGGGTCAAGGGACTGAGGGAATGGGTCAAGGGACTGAGGGAATGGGTCAAGGGACTGAGGGAATGGGTCAAGGGACTGAGGGAATGGGTCAAGGGACTGAGGGAATGGGTCAAGGGACTGAGGGAATGGGTCAGGGGACTTAGGGAATGTATCAGGGGACTGAGGGAATGGGTCAGGGGACTGAGGGAATGGGTCAAGGGACTGTGGGAATGGGTCAAGGGACTGAGGTAATGGGTCAAGGGACTCAGGGAATGGGTCAAGGGACTAAGGGAATGGGTCAAGGGACTGAGGGAATGGGTCAAGGGATTGAGGGAATGGGTCAAGGGACTGAGGGATTGGATCAAGGGACTGAGGGAATGGGTCAAGGGACTGAGGGAATGGGTCAAGGGACTCAGGGAATGGGTCAAGGGACTGAGCGAATGGGTCAAGGGACTGAGGCAATGGGTCAAGGGACTGAGGGAATGGGTCAAAGGACTGAGGGAATGGGTCAAGGGATTGAGGGAATGGGTCAAGGGACTGAGGGAATGGGTCAAGGGACTGAGGGAATGGGTCAAGGGACTGAGGGAATGGGTCAAGGGACTGAGGGAATGGGTCAAGGGACTGAGGGAATGGGTCAAGGGACTGAGGGAATGGGTCAAGGGATTGAGGGAATGGGTCAAGGGACTGAGGGAATGGATCAAGGGACTGAGGGAATGGGTCACGGGACTGAGGGAATGGGTTAAGGGACAGAGGGAATCGGTCAAAAAACTGAGGGAACGGGTCAAGGGACTGAGGGAATAGGTCAAGGGACTGAGAGAATGGGTCAAGGGACTGAGGGAATGGGTCAAGGGACTGAGGGAATGGGTCAAGGGACTGAGGGAATGGGTCAAAGGGAATGGGATTGCGCGTCTTGGCGCGACGAGAATGAGCTCCACGAACTTTGTCGGCCCCACGCCCAGGTGGCTCATGACGGGTCGCGCCATGTCAGCACAGCGGAATATCTTGAAACCTGCTGACGTGACCACTGCCACGTGGCTCCTCCCAAGAAGGAGAATCACAGCTAAAGGGTAGGGGACGAAAATCGGGAGGGTGGAGTGGGGCAGGAGAGGAACGGGGAGTGACTTAAGAGGGCTTGATATAAGAGGGGAGAGGAAAAGGAGGGATCTCCTTCCATGCACCCATACGAAGGGGGGAGCGGGGGTATGGTCAGGGTAGGGAGGAATTGAGAGGGGATGAGGGACGTGGAGAGGGAAGAGGGTATGTGGAAAGAGGAGGGGGGACGATCAGCACCTGGTGGGCGTAGCAGGGTGGGAAAAGAAGGGGCATAGAAGGATGGATGGGGGGACATGGAAGGGAAGACAGACTGGGGAATGGATGTGAGTGTGACCACCTGGTGGGCTTAGCTCTCCTATCACCCTCACATCCCCCCCCTTCCCTCCATCCCACCCTCCTCTCACCCCACCCTCCCCTCTCCCGTCTCCCCACTCTCGCCCATCCCTCGCCTCTCCCACCGCAGTGCTGTGTTAGCACGTACCCAGTCATGCCTTTCATGCGCCAACCATCCCGTGCCTCCTCCTTCCTCCCACCGGCCCCATACGTCACGTGCCCTTCTTCTTCTCCCTCCTCCTCCCCCTCCCTCCCCAAACGCCTCCCGTTCAGTGACCTCCCCTTCCATTCTCCCCCTCCCCCCGCGCCTGTCTCGCCAGCACCACCATGTATTCAGCGGCTCACTCGCTTTCGCTTTCGTGTCTGCCTTTCCTTCTCGCTCAACGCTCATCACGCAATGCTCTCCCACGTCGCTAGATTCACCCACATTCGCCCTTCCCCGCTGGCTCCCCCGCGAGCACCAACGCACCCCCCCGATGCACCTCCCCTTCTCATCTCTGGCGCATGATCTCCCTCGTTCCCTCTATCCCGCCTTTCCCACTTCCCTGCCTGCCTCTTCTCCCCAAATCTGCTCTTCTGCTCCGCCCCCTATTCCGCCTCCTTCCCCTCCTCGCCTCGCGTCTGCCAAACTCAAACAGCACGTGCCCGCAACCCCCTTTTCTCCTCCCCTCCCTGCGCCTCCCCTCCCCGCTCCGCCTCCAATCCACCCACGTGCGGCCAACCTTCACTGCTACCCCCGTCTGCGCTCACCCACCCACGTCACTGCTACCCCTGTCATTGCTACCCCCGTCACTGCTACCCCCGTCCCTCTTCGCGCTACCGCCGCCACTCCGGTCTGTGCTGCTCACAGCGACACATGCTTCCGCCGCCGTCGCCTCCACTGTTTCGGCCCGCTTCCGCAGCTGGGAGCTTAACCTGCGCGCGCGTGTTGGTCCCACCCGGCGCCATTACCGATTTGCCTCGCGCATCTGCTCCCACGGCTCTCCACCATCGCATGTCGGTCTTTGTCGCTTATCTCCGTCGACAATCGCTCAATTGCGCAATCCGTCGCTCTCTTATCACTGTACGTCGCGCTCTGTCATTGCCTGCTTGTCGCTCTGTCGCAGTGGCGCGGGCTTCTACCTCCTCTTCACGCCACCACCGCCGTCGCCGCCGCTCTGATCTGTGCTGATCGCAGCGACGCGGCTGCTTCCGCCGGTGTCACCGCCGCCGTCGCCGCCGCTGTCTCGACAGCCCTGCCTGTGCACCCGTGCTTGCACCGCCCGCCATTGCTGTCGTTTTTAATCGCTATCGTCGTCTACCGTCGCTCGTCGTCTACCGTTGCTCGTCGCTCTCTCATCGTCTACCGTCGCTCGTCGCTCTCTCATCGTCTACCGTCGCTCCTCTGCTATTCCATTTTTGTCGTCCACTGGTCCTTTTCCGCCGTCGACGATCGCGGTTTTGTCGCCGTCCGTCGCTCTATCGTCTCCCTGTCGCTCGCTTTGACGCGACCGCTATCGAGCCACTAAACTGACGCCCCATCTTGAACGCGGGTCATGTGTACTCCAACAGAGTTGAGAAAGCCGCCATTGTTTGCCAAGTGTAGGCGTAACGCAATGTAGGCTCATTCGAGAAAATTGATTCGATGAACCAACTGTTATGGGTGCGAGGCTCTTAGAAACTACGGAACCGATGTCCTATGAGTGTCTAAAACGAGGATAAAATATTTAGAGTCGAGCTAGGCGAGGACCTCGGGGGCGAGGCTCGGGATATGACAAAAGGTCCGGTAGCGATTTGGAAGTGGTTCGGAGCGAATTTGTAGGCCGAACCAGTTTATACAAACTCTTCGGAATATACCGGCGCAAGCCAAAGCAGTCTACAGAAATAGATTTACATTCCCTTATACAAAGTAATGAACCAACTTCTAGATACTACTTTGGATCAAACCCCATCAGTTTCTCTGCTAATTTAACCATCACATGGAAACATTAACGCGCTACAACGCATACGAACTTAGCTAGTGCAGGGCAATTAATTACGTAACTCACACCTATCACTTTTTATATTTTTCTAGACGAAGAGGAACACAACCGGACCGGTTGTTGTTTGGTACTAGATTTCCCCTGCATGACTCTGCATTGACTGTAGAAAGTCTTGGTTGCAGCCTGTTCGGCTCGTGGACGCCAGCAGACTTCAATTTCTTGCTGCAAGAAATGAAGCTCGGAGATGCAAGGATAAGAGATGAGGTGTGTGTGAGGGCAATGGATTGAAATAGAAAGAGATGAGGAAAGTGTGAGGGCACTGCAGTGCAAGCAAGAGGTGAGGAGATGGTGGGGGGGGAGGGGGGGGAGAGGGAGTGTTTGAAGATTGAAATGTTGCGCTTGAATGTGGCAGCATCTGATAGGATGGATGAGACGGCCGCTTCAAGACTGCCCGCCCGGTGTGTGGTGGCATGGGAGAGAGGGTAGCCGGGGGGTGAGAGGGACGCAACGACCACAGCTGCATCAAGGGGTGAATTCTGCATGCAGCGACGTCTGATGGGATGGATGCGAGGACCACAACAGGTGATGAACAACTCTTCAAACAATCCACGATAGGGCCAAGTCAAGAGTTGTTTGTTGTGGGGGCCGTCTGGTGGATGGTGCCATGTGGAAGAGGTTACGGGCGCGGGGAGCATGTGGAGGGGCAGGTGCCATTGGGTGGATGGGGGTGGTTTGAGGTGCTAATGCTATGAGCAGCGGCATATGAGAGGGTGGACGGATGGGAGGGTAGCGTCAAGCAAGAAGCGGACAAAGCGGAAGGAGGGGTTGGGGTGGGTGGATAGGGATGGTTTGAACGTTGAAGGCTGCATACGCGCAAAAAAAATCCAAAACCAATCCTCTCAGCCTTCATGAATGCTTGAGACTCTTTGAGAATTCTAACCATTGTGTACGAGGGAAAGAATCTTGCAAATCATTAAAAAAAAAAACTTCTTATCATCACCCTCCCACCATCCTTCCCCTACCCCCTGCCCAACACTTCCTCCCACCACCTCCTCTCATCACATCACCTGTCCCTCAACTTGAGAAGTTGTTTTACTTCGACTTGGAATATTTCAGGGCTAGATCTGCGAAGATCTAGCATTTCCCGCCAGATCCACACAAATTTGGCATGATTGTGGGTGACAGGCAGGATGATTTGCGTCGAGTTTTGATGGACTCGCTCGAGGGGAGGGGGATTTGCGAGTTTATACAAGCCAACCATATGTTCAAGTTACGGGCCGTGCCTCAGTTTAAAAACAGATGGACGAGTTTTGCCCGCCTCCATGGCACAAAACAAGCTTGGTCAGAATGAGTCGAGGAAAACTTGACTCATCATATGCCCATGTCTCCAAACAACACCTTGAGGGGGACTCACCCTGAGGGGGTCTTTCTAGAACGCCCTGAAAATCAGTCACAGCATGCCCCCTTCCTTCCGGTAGCCCTGACCCAAAACCACCTTGTGGGTTCCCTTTGAAGTGCCCACTTGCTTGACCCACGCTTGACTTGCTCGAGCCGCCTTGACTTGCCTTCACTTTTTTACCCGTGCGTGTCTTTTGTAACCCACGCTTGCCCCACACAGAATCCTATTTTGACTTGCTGGACCCACCTTGACTTGCTTGAATCACCTTATTGTTCCTACCCATGCGTGACTTGCGTGACCCGCCCTTGCCCCAGGTACAACCCATTTTTACTTGTTTGACTCACTTTGACTTGTGCTGCCACGTAGGGAGTGCTGAAGCCACAGCAGATGCCGATCTGGGATAAGAAAGAGAGGCAGAGGTATGAAGACAGGGTTGGTGGAAAGGCGCGGAGGAAGAAGGAGATGCGGTGCAGTGCAGTGCGGTTTGAAAGAATGCTCATCCTACACAAGGTGCGCTGAAGCCACAGATGGTGCCGATCTGAGGCGAGACAGAGATGGGAGGCACAGGGACGGGGATGGGAAGAAATAATACTATCAATGTTGCACCTCAAAACTTCAACGCATGGTGGCACGTAGGGAGCTGAGGGCACAGCGTCCAGACGCGTCCAGACGCGTCCAGTTGCGTCCAGACGCGTCCAGTTGCGTCCAGACGCGTCCAGTTGCGTCCAGACGCGTCCAGACGCGTCCAGTTGCGTCCAGACGCGTCCAGTTGCGTCCAGACGCGTCCAGACGCGTCCAGACGCGTCCACACGCATCCAGACGCGTCCAGTTGCGTCCAGACGCGTCCAGTTGCGTCCAGACGCGTCCAGTTGCGTCCAGACGCGTCCAGTTGCGTCCAGACGCGTCCAGTTGCGTCCAGACGCGTCCAGTTGCGTCCAGACGCGTCCAGTTGCGTCCAGACGCGTCCAGTTGCGTCCAGACGCGTCCAGTTGCGTCCAGACGCGTCCAGTTGCGTCCAGACGCGTCCAGTTGCGTCCAGACGCGTCCAGTTGCGTCCAGACGCGTCCAGTTGCGTCCAGACGCGTCCAGTTGCGTCCAGACGCGTCCAGTTGCGTCCAGACGCGTCAAGTTGCGTCCAGACGCGTCAAGTTGCGTCCAGACGCGTCCACTTGCGTCCAGACGCGTCCACTTGCGTCCAGACGCGTCCAGTTGCGTCCAGACGCGTCCAGTTGCGTCCAGACGCGTCCAGTTGCGTCCAGACGCGTCCAGTTGCGTCCAGACGCGTCCAGACGCGTCCAGACGCGTCCAGTTGCGTCCAGACGCGTCCAGTTGCGTCCAGACGCGTCCAGTTGCGTCCAGACGCGTCCAGTTGCGTCCAGACGCGTCCAGTTGCGTCCAGACGCGTCCAGTTGCGTCCAGACGCGTCCAGTTGCGTCCAGACGCGTCCAGTTGCGTCCAGACGCGTCCAGCTGCGTCCAGACGCGTCCAGCTGCGTCCAGACGCGTCCAGTTGCGTCCAGACGCGTCCAGTTGCGTCCAGACGCGTCCAGCTGCGTCCAGACGCGTCCAGTTGCGTCCAGACGCGCCCAGTTGCGTCCAGACGCGTCCAGTTGCGTCCAGACGCGTCCAGTTGCGTCCAGACGCGTCCAGTTGCGTCCAGACGCGTCCAGTTGCGTCCAGACGCGTCCAGTTGCATCCAGACGCGTCCAGTTGCGGGAATGGGTCAAGGGACTGAGGGAATGGGTCTGGGACTGAGGGAATGGGTCAAGGGACTGAGGGAATGGGTCAAGGGACAGAGGGAATGGGTCAAGGGGCAGAGGGAATGGGTCAAGGGACTGAGGGAATGGGTCAAGGGGCTGAGGGAATGGGTCAAGGGACTGAGGGAATGGGTCAAGGGACTGAGGGAAGGGGTCAAGGGACAGACGGAATGGGTCAAGGGACTAAGGGAATGGGTCAAGGGACTAAGGGAATGGGTCAAGGGACTAAGGGAATGGGTCAAGGGACTAAGGGAATGGGTCAAGGGACTGAGGGAATGGGTCAAGGGACTGAGGGAATGGGTCAAGGGACTGAGGGAATAGGTCAAGGGACTCAGGGAATGGGTCAAGGGACTCAGGGAATGGGTCAAGGGACTCAGGGAATGGGTCAAGGGACTGAGGGAATGTCTCAGGGGACTGAGGAAATGGGTCAGGGGACTGAGGGAATAGGTCAGGGGACTGAGGGAATGGGTCAGGGGACTGAGGGAATGGGTCAAGGGACTGAGGGAATGGGTCAAGGGACTGAGGGAATGGGTCAAGGGACTGAGGGAATGGGTCAAGGGACTGAGGGAATGGGACAAGGGACTGAGGGAATGGGTCAAGCGATTTAGGGAATGGGTCAAGGGACTGAGGGAATGGGTCAAGGGACTGACGGAATGGGTCAAGGGACTGAGGGAATGGGTCAAGGGACTGAGGGAATGGGTCAAGGGACTGAGGGAATGGGTCAAGGGACTGAGGGAATGGGTAAAGTCAAGGGACTGAGGGAATGGGTCAAGGGACTGAGGGAATGGGTCAAGGGACTGAGGGAATGGGTCAAGGGACTGAGGGAATGGGTCAAGGGACTGAGGGAATAGGTCAAGGGACTGAGGGAATGGGTCAAGGGACTCAGGGAATGGGTCAAGGGACTGAGGGAATGGGTCAAGGGACTGAGGGAATGTCTCAGGGACTGAGGGAATGGGTCAAGGGACTGAGGGAATGTCTCAGGGGACTGAGGGAATGGGTCAGGGGACTGAGGGAATGGGTCAAGGGACTGAGGGAATGGGTCAAGGGACTGAGGGAATGGGTCAAGGGCCTGAGGGAATGGGTCAAGGGACTCAGGGAATGGGTCAAGGGACTGAGGGAATGGGTCAAGGGACTGAGGGAATGGGTCAAGGGACTGAGGGAATGGGTCAAGGGACTGAGGGAATGGGTCAAGGGACTCAGGGAATGGGTCAAGGGACTGAGGGAATGGGTCAAGGGAGTGAGGGAATGGGTCAAGGGACTGAGGGAATGGGTCAAGGGACTGAGGGAATGTCTCAGGGGACTGAGGGAATGGGTCAGGGGACTGAGGGAATGGGTCAAGGGACTGAGGGAATGGGTCAAGGGACTGAGGGAATGGGTCAAGGGCCTGAGGGAATGGGTCAAGGGACTGAGGGAATGGGTCAAGGGACTGAGGGAACGGGTCAAGGGACTGAGGGAATGGGTCAAGGAACTGAGGGAATGGGTCAAGGGACTGAGGGAATGGGTCAAGGGACTCAGGGAATGGGTCAAGGGACTGAGGGAATGGGTCAAGGGAGTGAGGGAATGGGTCAAGGGACTGAGGGAATGGGTCAAGGGACTCAGGGAATGGGTCAAGGGACTGAGGGAATGGGTCAAGGGACTGAGGGAATGGGTCAAGGGACTGAGGGAATGGGTCAAGGGACTAAGGGAATCGGTCAAAAAACTGAGGGAACAGGTCAAGGGACTGAGGGAATAGGTCAAGGGACTCAGGGAATGGGTCAAGGGACTGAGGGAATGGGTCAAGGGACTGAGGGAATGGATCAAGGGACTGAGAGAACGGGTCAAGGTCCTGAGGGAATGGGTCAAGGGACTGAGGGAATAGGTCAAGGGACTGAGGGAATGGGTCAAGGGACTCAGGGAATGGGTCAAGGGGCTGAGGGAATGGGTCAAGGGACTGAGGGAATGTCTCAGGGGACTGAGGGAATGGGTCAAGGGACTGAGGGAATGTCTCAGGGGACTGAGGGAATGGGTCAGGGGACTGAGGGAATGGGTCAAGGGACTGAGGGAATGGGTCGAGGGACTGAGGGAATGGGTCAAGGGCCTGAGGGAATGGGTCAAGGGACTCAGGGAATGGGTCAAGGGACTGAGGAAATGGGTCAAGGGACTGAGGGAATGGGTCAAGGGACTGAGGGAATGGGTCAAGGGACTGAGGGAATGGGTCAAGGGACTCAGGGAATGGGTCAAGGGACTGAGGGAATGGGTCAAGGGAGTGAGGGAATGGGTCAAGGGACTGAGGGAATGGGTCAAGGGACTGAGGGAATGTCTCAGGGGACTGAGGGAATGGGTCAGGGGACTGAGGGAATGGGTCAAGGGACTGAGGGAATGGGTCAAGGGACTGAGGGAATGGGTCAAGGGCCTGAGGGAATGGGTCAAGGGACTGAGGGAATGGGTCAAGGGACTGAGGGAATGGGTCAAGGGACTGAGGGAATGGGTCAAGGGACTGAGGGAATGGGTCAAGGGACTGAGGGAATGGGTCAAGGGACTCAGGGAATGGGTCAAGGGACTGAGGGAATGGGTCAAGGGAGTGAGGGAATGGGTCAAGGGACTGAGGGAATGGGTCAAGGGACTCAGGGAATGGGTCAAGGGACTGAGGGAATGGGTCAAGGGACTGAGGGAATGGGTCAAGGGACTGAGGGAATGGGTCAAGGGACTAAGGGAATCGGTCAAAAAACTGAGGGAACAGGTCAAGGGACTGAGGGAATAGGTCAAGGGACTCAGGGAATGGGTCAAGGGACTGAGGGAATGGGTCAAGGGACTGAGGGAATGGATCAAGGGACTGAGAGAACGGGTCAAGGGACTGAGGGAATGGGTCAAGGGACTCAGGGAATGGGTCAAGGGACTCAGGGAATGGGTCAAGGGACTCAGGGAATGGGTCAAGGGACTGAGGGAATGGGTCAAGGGACTGGGGGAATGGGTCAAGGGACTGAGGGAATGGGTCAAGGGACTCAGGGAATGGGTCAAGGGACTCAGGGAATGGGTCAAGGGACTGAGGGAATGGGTCAAGGGACTCAGGGAATGGGTCAAGGGACTGAGGGAATGGGTCAAGGGACTGAGGGAATGGGTCAAGGGACTGAGGCAATGGGTCAAGGGACTGAGGGAATGGGTCAAAGGACTGAGGGAATGGGTCAAGGGACTGAGGGAATGGGTCAAGGGACTGAGGGAATGGGTCAAGGGACTCAGGGAATGGGTCAAGGGACTCAGGGAATGGGTCAAGGGACTGAGGGAATGGGTCAAGGGACTGAGGGAATGGGTCAAGGGACTCAGGGAATGGGTCAAGGGACTGAGGGAATGGGTCAAGGGACTGAGGGAATGGGTCAAGGGACTGAGGGAATGGGTCAAGGGACTGAGGGAATCGGTCAAAAAACTGAGGGAACGGGTCAAGGGACTGAGGGAATAGGTCAAGGGACTCAGGGAATGGGTCAAGGGACTGAGGGAATGGGTCAAGGGACTGAGGGAATGGGTAAAGGGACTGAGAGAATGGTTCAAGGGACTGAGGGAATGGGTCAAGGGACTGAGGGAATGGGTCAAGGGACTCAGGGAATGGGTCAAGGGACTGAGGGAATGGGTCAAAGGACTCAGGGAATGGGTCAATGGACTGAGGGAACGGGTCAAGGGACTGAGGGAATGGGTCAAGGGACTCAGGGAATGGGTCAAGGGACTGAGGGAACGGGTCAAGGGACTGAGGGAATGGGTCAAGGGACTGAGGGAATGGGTCAAGGGACTGAGGGAATGGGTCAAGGGACTGAGGCAATGGGTCAAGGGACTGAGGGAATGGGTCAAAGGACTGAGGGAATGGGTCAAGGGACTGAGGGAATGGGTCAAGGGACTGAGGGAATGGGTCAAGGGACTCAGGGAATGGGTCAAGGGACTCAGGGAATGGGTCAAGGGACTGAGGGAATGGGTCAAGGGACTGAGGGAATGGGTCAAGGGACTCAGGGAATGGGTCAAGTCAAGGGACTGAGGGAATGGGTCAAGGGACTCAGGGAATGGGTCAAGTCAAGGGACTGAGGGAATGGGTCAAGGGACTGAGGGAATGGGTCAAGGGACTCAGGGAATGGGTCAAGGGAGTCAGGGAATGTCTCAGGGGACTGAGGGAATGGGTCAGGGGACTGAGGGAATGGGTCAAGGGACTGAGGGAATGGGTCAAGGGACTGAGGGAATGGGTCAAGGGCCTGAGGGAATGGGTCAAGGGACTCAGGGAATGGGTCAAGTCAAGGGACTGAGGGAATGGGTCAAGGGACAGAGGGAATGGGTCAAGGGACTGAGGAAATGGGTCAAGGGACTGAGGGAATGGGTCAAGGGACTCAGGGAATGGGTCAAGGGACTGAGGGAATGGGTCAAAGGAGTGAGGTAATGGGTCAAGGGACTCAGGGAATGGGTCAAGGGACTCAGGGAATGGGTCAAGGGACTGAGGGAATGGGTCAAGGGACTCAGGGAATGGGTCAAGGGACTCAGGGAATGGGTCAAGGGACTCAGGGAATGGGTCAAGGGACTGAGGGAATGGGTCAAGGGACTGAGGGAATGGGTCAAGGGACTCAGGGAATGGGTCAAGGGACTCGGGGAATGGGTCAAGGGACTCAGGGAATGGGTCAAGGGACTGAGGGAATTAGTCAAGGGACTGAGGGAATGGGTCAAGGGACTCAGGGAATGGGTCAATGAACTCAGGGAATGGGTCAAGGGACTGAGGGAATGGGTCAAGGGACTCAGGGAATGGGTCAAGGGACTCAGGGAATGGGTCAAGGGGCTCAGGGAATGGGTCAAGGGACTGAGGGAATGGGTCAAGGGACTAAGGGAATGGGTCAAGGGACTTAGGCAATGGGTCAAGGGACTCAGGGAATGGGTCAAGGGACTGAGGGAATGGGTCAAGGGACTCAGGGAATGGGTCAAGGGACTCAGGGAATGGGTCAAGGGACTGAGGGAATGGGTCAAGGGACTCAGGGAATGGGTCAAGGGACTCAGGGAATGGGTCAAGGTACTGAGGGAATGGGTCAAGGGACTGAGGGAATGGGTCAAGGGACTGAGGGAATGGGTCAAGGGACTGAGGGAATGTCTCAGGGGACTGAGGGAATGGGTCAGGGGACTGAGGGAATGGGTCAGGGGACTGAGGGAATGGGTCAAGGGACTGAGGGAATGGGTCAAGGGACTGAGGGAATGGGTCAAGGGAGGGGTGGGGGGGGAGGAAGAAGGGGATATGGACCAGCAGTGCAGCCACCGGTGCTCCGAGTGGGTTTTAGCATTCACCTGGAGGGCACACCTGCAGTCACCTGGAGTGCACACCTGCAGTCACCTGGAGTGCATGGCTGGGAAGAGGCAATGGCGGCGGAGTGTGGGCGAACGGTGAGGGTGCGGCTGAGACTATGGTTCAGTGATCGATCCTCCTGTGGAAAGGATTCCTCCTTGCTGCTCTTCTCCTAACACCTCTGAGGACCTCAAGTTCGTGGGAGACGCCTAACCTGCTGCATGCCCAACCTGCTGCTTGCCTAACCTGCTGCTTGCCTAACCTGCTGCTTGCCTAACCTGCTGCTTGCCTAACCTGCTGCTTGCCTAACCTGCTGCTTGCCTAACCTGCTGCTTGCCTAACCTGCTGCTTGCCTAACCTGCTGCTTGCCTAACCTGATGCTCGCCTAACCTGCTGCTTGCCTAACCTGCTGCTTGCCTAACCTGCTGCTTGCCTAACCTGCTGCTTGCCTAACCTGCTGCTTGCCTATCCTGCTGCTTGCCTAACCTGCTGCTTGCCTAACCTGCTGCTTGCCTAACCTGCTGCTTGCCTAACCTGCTGCTTGCCTAACCTGCTGCTTGCCTAACCTGCTGCTTGCCTAACCTGATGCTCGGCTAACCTGCTGCTTACCTAACCTGCTGCTTGCCTAACCTGCTGCTTGCCTAACCTGCTGCTTGCCTAACCTGCTGCTTGCCTAACCTGCTGCTTGCCTATCCTGCTGCTTGCCTAACCTGCTGCTTGCCTAACCTGCTGCTTGCCTAACCTGCTGCTTGCCTAACCTGCTGCTTGCCTAACCTGCTGCTTGCCTAACCTGCTGCTTGCCTAACCTGCTGCTTGCCTAACCTGCTGCTTGCCTAACCTGCTGCTTGCCTAACCTGCTGCTTGCCTAACCTGCTGCTTGCCTAACCTGATGCTCGGCTAACCTGCTGCTTACCTAACCTGCTGCTTGCCTAACCTGCTGCTTGCCTAACCTGCTGCTTGCCTAACCTGCTGCTTGCCTAACCTGCTGCTTGCCTATCCTGCTGCTTGCCTAACCTGCTGCTTGCCTAACCTGCTGCTTGCCTAACCTGCTGCTTGCCTATCCTGCTGCTTGCCTAACCTGCTGCTTGCCTAACCTGCTGCTTGCCTAACCTGCTGCTTGCCTAACCTGCTGCTTGCCTAACCTGCTGCTTGCCTAACCTGCTGCTTGCCTAACCTGCTGCTTGCCTAACCTGCTGCTTGCCTAACCTGCTGCTTGCCTAACCTGCTGCTTGCCTAACCTGCTGCTTGCCTAACCTGCTGCTTGCCTAACCTGCTGCTTGCCTAACCTGCTGCTTGCCTAACCTGCTGCTTGCCTAACCTGCTGCTTGCCTAACCTGATGCTCGCCTAACCTGCTGCTTGCCTAACCTGCTGCTTGCCTCACCTGATGCTGCCTTTTCATCACGCTGCCTTCTTCCCTGCACTTCTCCTCCTCTCATCTCTTCTCCTCCCCTCCGTGCTCTCTCCCTTCCCCCTTCTCCCCTCCCTTTCTCCTCCCTCGCCTACCAACTCTTTTCCATCCACCTCCCTCTCCTCCACTCTCTGCCCCTCCTCCCTCGCCTCTACTTCCACCTCTCTCGGCGACCTCCCATCCTTCCCCCTGCCCTCCCTCTCACTCTCCCCTGACTCCTCCCTCGCCTCTCCCCCCTCTGCTTCCCTTCTCGCCTCTCCCCCCTCTGCCTCCCATCTCGCCTCTCCCCCCTCTGCCTCCCATCTCGCCTCTCCCCCCTCTGCCTCCCGTCTCACCTCTCCCACCCTCACTGAAATGACAGAACACTCCTTCTCGCCACTCATGCTCCAACCATTTCGTGCCTCCTCCACACCTCCCTCCACCCCCATGCACCACACGCCCTTCTTCCTCCCCACCCCCCTTCTCCGCATCCCCCTCAACTCCCTCCCCACACGCCTGTCTATCCTGCAGCACTATTCTCGTCAATCCACTAACACGCTTTTGCTTCGGGGTCTGCCTCTCCATTTCCCGCCTCACATCCATGCTCTCCCTGGTTGCTGGCTTCACCTGCACCCGCGCCCCACTCCTCCGCCTGCCCATTCGCCCTTCCTCCGCCCTCCTGCTCCCCCTTCTCCCACTCCTCGCCTCGTTTCTGCCAAACCAAACCCACGCGCGCCCGCATTCTCACTCCCCCTTCCCCTCTCGATCCCTCCCCTCAACACTCCGCCTACCCTTCCCCCTCCGCGCGGCAGCCCGTCATTGTCACCCTCATATGCGCTCCCCATCCCACTGGCGCGCAAATCATTCTCCGCTGACTCTCAACGGTAGAGGCTCACGCGTAGCAGGAGTGGCGGCGGCGGTGGCAGCGGCAGCGGCGGCGACGACGACGGCGGTGGTGACGGCGGAGCGTGACCTACACCGCATTCTACCGCCACTTCGCGCCGCCGCCGCCACCACTCCAGCCTGTGCTGCTCGCAGAGACACTCCAACCCTAAACCCCACTAGGCTTCATTTCGGGCATGACAGATATGGTGGTGGGAGTGAGACGGTCCATCCATGTGTCCCTCTCTTCACCCATCATCGCCCCATCCATGTGTTCCTCTCTGCCCTAATCATCTCCCCATGGAGTGAGTGTGTCGCCGGGGTGAGAGGCAGGAGGTGAGCACAAGGACAGAGTCAGGCCATGGAAGTGAGATGGCGGTGGGAATGAGATGGTGGTGGGAGATGGTCGCACTATCCATCTGTTCCTCTCTGCCCCCATCATCTCCCCATGGAGTGAGTATCATCTCCCCATGGAGTGAGTATCATCTCCCCATGGAGTGAGTATCATCTACCCATGGAGCGAGTGAGTATCATCTCCCCATGGAGTGAGTATCATCTCCCCATGGAGTGAGTATCATCTTCCCATGGAGTGAGTATCATCTCCCCATGGAGTGAGCGAGTATCATCTCCCCATGGAGTGAGTATCATCTCCCCATGGAGTGAGTGAGTATCATCTCCCCATGGAGTGAGTGAGTATCATCTCCCCATGGAGTGAGCATCATCTCCCCATAGAGCCCCACCCACTGCCGTCCTGAACCATTAACTCCTGAATCGTTGACTCCCCATGGCACACATGCGACAGCGCGGAAATGGAGCCGTGCTTGCATGAGTCAAGCCAAGCCAAGGCGACTCGAGGCCGAGTCCCCACCCCACCTCACAGCCTCTAGTCATCTTGGGCAGGCGACGGCGGAAAAGAACCACAAGGTTTGTTCGTGGGCAACAATGGGAAGAAAACAGTGTGCGTTACCCATCACGTAAGCACTCCCACTGTTACCCACCTCACTGTGTGCTACCTCACAGCACGGCATCCCACCCCACCGCATTCAACAGCTGCACTCACCTTGCCCAGGCGGAGTCGCGAGAGAGCAATGAGTACGGGAATGCTGCAAGCACTCCCCTGTGTGCTGGTTCCCGGCCTTCCCGTGTGCTACCTGATAGCACCACACCCCACCTCAGCCTCTAACCACCTCAACGTCTAGCCCCCCACGCTTCTAACCACCTCAACGTCTAGCCCCCCACGCTTCTAACCACCTCAGCATATAGGCACCTCAGAAACTAGCCACCTCAGCCTCTAGCCACCCTCTAACCACCTCAGCATCTAGCGACCTCAGCATCTAGCGACTTCAGCATATAGCCACTTCAGCATATAGCAACTCTCCATCTACCCACCTCAGCATCGAACCACCTCAGCATATATCCACCTCAGCAACTAGCCACCTCAACATCTAGCCACCTCAGCAACTAGCCACCTCAACATCTAGCCACCTCAGCAACTAGCCACCTCAACATCTAGACACCTCAGCTTGCAATCGCGTTGAGCTCTACTCACATTGGCGAGGCAGTGCTGAGATAGAGCAAAGTGCACGGGACTGCCACGTGCAGTCTATTTCACACTTGCACCCCCCCCCATGTGCTGGTTCCCAGCCTCCGGTATGCTACCGAATAGCACCAGCACCCACCACATTCAACACCTGTGATCACCTTGCACTCCCTGTATGTTACCTAATAGCACCAGCACCCCACCAGCACTCACCTTGGCCAGGCGGCGTCTGGAGAGAGCCACAACCACGGGAGTGTTGCGAGCATTATCCCACCCACACACATGCACTCCCACCACACCACACTGAACACCTGCAGGCACCTTGGCCAGGCGATGTCTGGACGGAGCCAATCCCTGCTCTCATGCGTGCGTGGAGAAGTTTGAGGGGGACATGGGTGGGCGAGGAGAGAAGGGGGGTTTCCTCCTACCATTCACCGCCTGCCCCAGCTTTGAGAAATTCTCAAAAGTGACTCGCACCACTTTCAGCCCTGCTAGCACCCGCCGCCGCATTGTTCCCTGGGCGTGGAGGGTTGAAGTAGAAAGGGGGTTGCGGAGGGGGAAAAGCGAAATCTCCTTCAGCCCTGGCAGCACGCGCTGCCTCATGGCTTCCTGTGCATGGGGGGAGTTGAGGGGGGGAAGGGGGAGCCTTCAACATGGAGGGGAAAGAAGGGATCATCTTTAGCCCTGCCAGGCCAGCACGCGCCGCCTCATGGCTCCCTGCTCCCATGTGTAGGGGAGATGGAGGGAGATGGCGCAGGGGGGACAGGCGGAGGGGGAATGGGGAAGGGGAACGATGGGTCTCTTGCAGTGCTGGTAGCACCGCTGCCGCATTGCGTGGAGGGAGAAGGGTGCAAAGGCGGGAGGGGTGCGTGGGAATGAGTAGGGGGGAAGTGGGGGTGTGTAGGGGGAAAGAATGGCCCCCTTCAGCCTCCTTAGGGGGGACATCGATCCCTGTGCGAGGAGCAGAAAGGTAAAAGGTAGGATTTAAGTGGGGTGGAGTGGAAGGAGAGGGGCCGTCGAGGAAAAGGTGGGATGTGGACGAGAAGGAGGGAAAAGAAGGGGGAAAGTAGGGGTCCAGGGGAGAATGAGGAGGCCGGAGGGGATGGGAAAGGCAAGGGGAGATAAAGAGAGGGGAGCAGGGGTGGAAGGGAGAGGGAAAAGGGTTGATGAGAAGGAAAAAGGGGGGTTGAAAACGGGCAAGGGGACCTCACCTCAGCATCCCTTCTGCTCCCCTCCTTGCCCCCTCGCTTGCCCCTTCTCTCTGTCCCCCTTCCCTCACCTCTCCCATGCACTCCGCTTCCTCCTCCCCCTTGCCCTCCATCCCACCCTACCATGACTCCGTCCCCTCTTCTCCCCTCCCTATACCCCCACACCCACTCGCCTCTCCCCCCTCTGAACTCCCCCTCGCCTCTCCCACCCCCACGAGTGTGGCACAGTCCACTTCACGCCTCTTATGCCTCCTCCATACCTCCCACCATCCATCGCCATGAGTCCCGTCCCCCCAACCCCATGATCCACACGCCCGTCTTCTTCTCCCACCCTCTCCCGTTCCCTCACCCCCTACCTCGCTCCCTTCCCATTCCCCTTCTCCCCCTCCCCCGTCTCCCGCTTCTCCCCGTCCCCCTCCCCATTACCCGTCTCCCCCATCTCTCTCCCCCCCGCCCGCCTGTCTCACCAGCACCTCCCCTCCCCATTCTCTTCTGCTTCAGCGTCTGCCTCTCCTTCCCCCTGCCTCACACCCATGCTCTCCCACGTTGCTAGGTTTCACCCGAACCTGCCTCCTCCCACCGATTCCCCCCGGGACCCCTCCGCGCCCCTCCCAGCGTCCTCCCCCAATCGCTCGCGCCCCTCTACCCGGTCCCCCTCGCATCCCCCTTCTCATCCCTCTTGCCCCTTCCCACTTCCCGCCCTTCTCCAGCCCTCTGCCTGCCCTTTCTCACCTCCTCCCCCATTCTGCTCCGCCTCCTGCGGCTTGAGTCCTGCCCCGCTTTCTCCCACCCCTTGCCTCGTTTCCGCCAAATCCAAGCCACGCGCGCCCGCAAGCTCACTTCCCCCTCCTCTCTCTGGCCAACCCTCCTCGTTCCGGCCCCCCCTTCTCACTCCGCGTTACCACCCGTCACTGTTCCCATCACTTCTGATCCCATCTGCGCTCCACCTCTCCCTGGCGCGCAAACTGATTTCCGCGGACTCTCGCGAATGCGGCGGTAGAGGCGCACGCGCAGCGGCGATGGCGGCGGTGGAGGTGGCGCCGGCGGCGGGGGCCGCGGCGGTGGCGGTCGGTGCTGCTCGCAGTAACGGTGCTGTCTTGGCAGCCCACCCCCGCCGGGAGCCCCGCCTGCGCTCCCGTGCTTGCCCCATCCGCTATTGCTGCTGCTCGCCTCTGCTGTCGCGGCTCTCCGCCATCGCGAATCGCTTTTTATCGCTATCGTCGTCTACTGTTGCCTTTTCGCCGCAGACAGTCGCGGTTTCGTCGCCGTCCGTCGCTCTCTCATCGTAGTCCGTCGTTCTCTGTCGCGGTCTGTCGTTCTCGCGTCGCAGTCCCTCGCTCTCGCGTCGCGGTCCGTCGCACTCTCATCCCCGTCGCCATGTGTCGTTGCCTATCTGTCGCGCTGACGCAGTAGCATTTGCGCCAATACCTGACGCTCTAAACGACCTTCGATTGCCAACGCAGTATCGCAATGTCTTATCATGTCTCTCATCGAATGTCAGGCTTTTCTGTTTGCCCACCCGCCATTGCTGCTGCTCCTCGCGCCTCTGCTGTCGTATCTCTCTTCTCGCTCAAGTCGCCCTGTCTGTCGTTTCGACGCGACGACTATTGAGCCACCTATTCGACGCTCCACTGCTGCCTACCCAGCTTTCACTTCCTGATCCTGCTGTGTGACTCCTACAGACTGTTAGGAATTCGCAAGTTTTCCAGACAGAAACGCTACAAGATACAACAGAGTATCCCGGGAATGTCTAAAACGAGGTACAAATTGGCTGGGTCGAGCTAGGCGAAGACCTCGGCGTGAACGAGGCTCGGAAGTTTGGCGAAAAGTGCGGCTGCGACTCGGAATTGGTTCGGAGCGGAATTTTAGGCCGAACCAGTAGAAGCGAACTCGACGGAAGAGAAAGGATAGAGTAACCCTACAGTAATAAACAATGAACTCTTATACGCACACAAAGGAAAGAAACGAGTTGTAGGTAAAAAATTGAAACAACGACAGTTGATTTCTCCACAAGTTGTACAAGATTACTATTCAAAGTTCAACCACTGCGGATGATCGCTTATGCGCTACAACACGTACGAACTTGGCTAGTGCTCTGAAATTACGAGTTTCCACTTAACTATTTATAGATTGGATGTGTCGGGTTGTAATTCTCCGCCCCCTCCCCCCCATAACTCGGCATTTGACTGTAGCAAGTCTTCGCTCCAGCGTGCCTGGTGGACCTCTTGCTGCTCCCACCAGGCTTCATTTGTTACATAAGGTAGCGATAATGGCGGTGGGAGTAGAGGGCAGTGGGAGCGTGAGAGCGAAGGGAGCAAGAAGGCAGTTGTTGCCAGATCCCTCGTTTTACGACTTTGTTGCGTTTGACCTTGAAATTCTTGGTTCAAAACAAGAGTAACAGTTCTCAGGTTGATCGTGTCGCTGATCTCGCCACCGAAGCACAGCTTGATTCGCAAGCTTGTAACTCTTGCGCTACCCCCAGCATGGCTCGAGCAGCAGCCTCGTTGACATGACTTCTTGATCCTCCACCTGCCCTTTCTGCTAAAGATTTCTCCCCTAATCTGTCTGCCCCTCCAACAATCACAAACTATGCGAGAACACTCCTCAGCAGGCTGTGCACCGCGTCGGCAGTGCACCCCAACTGTGTGTGCAACTTACAACCCCTTATGGTCATGCTTCCTCGATTTCCCACCTTCGTGCTCACCATAGACAGCCAAATAAGCATGCACAACCTCCCACCTTATATTGACCTGTACTCCCCAATAAGAGCCAACACCCACTGCAGCTTGCACTCAGCTTGCCCAGGCGGCGCTGAGACTGATAGAGCCACAACCACAGGGATGCTGCGTGCATTAATCCTCATTCATGCACCCCCCATTCACTACCTTTACCTTGTGTTAGCTGATAGCAGTAGCACTCCCACCTCAGCCTGCTTGCACCCACCTCACCGCATGTTACCTGATAGCACAACCATCGAACCTCACCCTGCCCTCACCTTGGAATGGCGACGTCTGGTGAGAGTTATGACCATGGGAATGTTGCGTGTATTACCACTCCCATGCACCTCAGCCACTACTCTACTCACCTTGCCACATGGGGACAGCGCACCCGGCATCGTGGGCGGTTCAAGGCCTGGCAGCATGAAAGGTGAGGTTAGCAAATGGTGTTGCTCAGAGCAACACAGCACAATGGAAAGAGTTGACGAGAGGCTGAGGGAACTGCAATGCAAGCACGGAATCACTGTGTGCGTCACTTTCGAGAAGTGACTCGAACATCATATGGACTCATTGTCGTCCATATTACCACGGCACTCACACGGCAGCGCAGCCAGTGTAGTATCTGGGTGGCAGGGAGAAAGGAGATGGGAGGATGCAATAAGACGAGGTCAAGAGTGGGTGCAATGCAATGCGCTGGGGACTATGCATGCATCTCCCCCATTGCAGTCATCAGAGCTGATAAACATGGGGGTTGATGCATACGGCATGGGAAATGGTGCATGCAGCATGGGGGGTGATGCATGCAGCATGGGGGTTGATGCATGCAGCATGGGGGGTGATGCATGCAGCATGGGGGTTGATGCATGCAGCATGGGAAATGATGCACGCAACATCCCCATCAGAGTGTGGTCTCCAGAGCTGATAAACAGCCAAGACGGGGTAGGCATGAAGGTGGAAGGGCCGAGTGGGGAAAAGAAAGTTATTGCAAGCGAGCAAGCATGCGCCTTGTGCGTCATCGCCGCAACCGACTTACTTCCCTCTCACATCCCCTCCAGATTTTTGAAGCGCCTCAGAAATCGAGTAGTGTACACGAGAAAATGAGCGCTCGTGCTGCTTCACAGCAACCGCTTACTCCCCTCCCCACTCACATCCCCTCCAGATTCCGCCTGGTGCTGCTGCCTCCCTTCTGCCACCTAAGTCAGCACCACTCTCCCATCACCTCACGCACAGACCACCATGATACCTGATAGATACAACATCTATAGCCCACACACCTCTTCCGTCCCAGCCTTCCCCCATCCACCTGGTCACAGGACTTCCCCTTAAGCAGTTCCTCGCCCCCCACCTTCACCTGCAGACGCCTTAGTCATGGGGCATCTGGAGAGAGGCAGTCACCAACCTCGTGGATTCCGCATGCATTGCGCCTCACACACGCATGCCAATAGCTCACCGCGACCTGATTCCTCCAATCCTCTCTTCCCCACTTTACCGTGCGTTACCTGATTGCACCGCAGCCTCTAGCCACCTCACCCAATAGCCAACTTACCTTTGCAAGGGGGCATCAGAGAAAGGCACAAGCTCAGGAATGCTGTGTACACTACTCCCCACACATGCAAGCCCCCCGCCCCCACCACAGTGTGCTACATGAAGCACCAACACTCCGCCTCAACCTCTACAACTTCTCCACCCTATCTTAGCCAGGCGGTGTCAGGACAGAGCCACAACCACAAGAATGTTGCGAGCCGAGCATTACCCCGCAGGCATTCACTTCCCCCCAAATCCAGCTCACCATGTGCTACCTGATAGTACCAACGCCCCACTTCAGCCTCTAGCAACCTGGACCTGCACCCACCGTGTGCTACCTGCAAGTGTTGGGATGAGTGGTGATGTGTTGGGATAGGGGCAGCGTCAAGGCCACCTGGGGAGACGACAGAGGAGGGGGTGGGGTAGGTGATGGTGGTGAGGCTGGTTGCAAAGGGATACGTGGAACTTTGAATGCTGCATGCGGCAGCTTCTGATGGGGTGGATGTGAGGGCTATCTCAAGACCACCTGGAGATTGGGTGGAAGAGGGGTGGGGAGGGTGGGTGGGGGTGGTTTAAACATTGAGTGGTGCATTCACACACAGCCCACCTCAAGACCATCCAACAGAAGCGATAAACGATGGTGCAAATTCACGGGAATGTTTTGCATAATAATAAACCCCCCAATCTCCTCTCCCACTCCATTCTCCTCACCCTTCCCCCCATTCTCCTCTCAATTCCCCCCAAATACTCACCTCTCTCAGGCACCTCCGCATCAGGCGCCAGCACCATACACTTGGCTCCCCATCGTTGCACACCATTCACTGTCACCACTCCCTCCCGCTCCCCCACCTGCCCCAGGCACCCCTTCCACTTGGTGGTAAGCAGCACGCCCATTGGAGCAGCGCGGTGAGCTCGGGAGTGAGCACCTGATGAGCACCTGGTGAGCACCTGGCGAGCACCTGGCGAGCACCTGGCGAGCACCTGGTGAGCACCTGGCGAGCACCTGGTGAGCACCTGGTGAACGAGGAGTTTGAGGTGGGGAGAGAAAAGACGTGAGGAGGGGGGGTGCGGAAATTTGACGTGCTGAAACCTCCTCGACTCACCTGCTGCATGCCTCCACGCCAATGTAAGTGGTCGGCTGAGCCTGCCACATTCGTCTCCTCCTTTCACCTCCCCGTCCTTCTTCTCCCATCCCTCTTCCTTCTCTCCCTCCTCTTCCTTCTCTCCCTAGTTTTCCTGCTCCTCACCTTAGTGGGAATATACGCTCAAACCTGTTTGCGTTTAGCGTATACACGCTATCGTGTATACGCAAAACGCTAAACGCTATCGAATACGCTATACGCTCGCCAATTTTTTTTTGGGGCAGCCCGGCCAGAAAATTTCAACCTATACGGTTCGCTTCGGAATTGCATGACGAAGACATTGGCGGGGTCAGATGGCACGTCCGCGCTGTGTGCTAACGTGGACGTGGGTTGAAAGTTCGTGTTGCAAATGGAAAGTCAAGTTCGTCAAGTCGCGCTTGCACGTTCCTTCACATTTTGGTGTTCAATATCAGTAACGCATTCAAACCCTTCGCAACCAACACCTCTCCAATTTTTGTTGGCCATCTTCCCACTCCCACAATCAACTCGCTATAAAACAACCACGCCCCCAACATCCAACTCATTAGGTCTTCTCTCGCTACCAGCAGAGCACTAGGCATTCCCTAGCGCATGGTGCCTATGTCGACGACTACTACCTCTCCTCTAACGCCACCGTCAGTTACCACCGTTGGCAGTTCACAAACTCTTCTAACCGAGGCACGGGAGTATCTACCCGATGTTGACCATGGCGTCTTCAAGCACTTCCGCATTATCAAGAGGGTCGAGGAAAAAGCTCAGCAGTACGAGTGCAAGTTCTGCAACAACGTCTACACTGGTGCTGCCATCCGATGCGCGCAACACTTTACGTCGTGGAAGGGGATGAAACGCCGTGAAGTGGTGCTTTGCAAGGATGCGCCGCAAGATGTGCGCTTGGCCATGCGCGCGAAATACGAGGCAAAGGCTGCTGCGGCCGAATAGAAGAGGCGGGCAGCAGCTGAAGCGGTTGCCGCGGTCAAGGCTAATGGTGTGAAGCGGGCGCGCATCACCGATTACCTTGAGGGGGATGCGACTGCAAGAAAGAGAGAAGCGGACGAGGCACTTGCGCTTGCTTGGGCCGCCCTCCATATCCCCGAGCGCCACATTGACCATCCTCTGATGGTCAATGCATTGAACCTCGTCAAGCGCGTCGGCGTCGACTACGTCCCTCCCAAGAGGAAATACATCGGTGGTGCTGGCCTTCTCTCGTGTCGCAACGGAATCGAGCAGGATTTGGTGGGCATTAAGGCAAGCTGGAAGAGGACGGGCATGACGGTTTCGTCCGACATGATGACGGACCGCAACGGCAGGCCGCAGGCGAACGTGCTTATCGTAAACGATTCCAGCGCCGTCTTCACCGACTGTATTGACTGCAACATGGAGAGGAAAACCGGAAGTTACGTGGCGAGGATTCTTAGGCCCGTGGTGGAGGAAGTGGGTCCAGAGAACGTTGTTGCGTTCTGCATGGACGGGGGGTCGAACTATGCGGTGGCGGTGAAGCAGCTCATATGGGAGTGGCCGCACATTCAGGATGTGCCGTGCGCCCCTCACGTATTGGATCTTCTCATGGAAGATGTCGGAAAGATGGGATCGGCTAAGCCGGTGGTCGACAAGGGAGGGGAGATATCTAGCTTTGTCCGCAACCACCACTGGACCCGAGGGTACCTGTGGAAGCCGGAATTGGTGGAGGGGAAGGTTCTGCAGGCGCTGAAGCCGGCTGGGACCCGATTCGAGACCAACTACATAGCCATATCCCGGCTATGTGCGATGCGCGGCAGCCTTACCAACATGGTGACGAGCGAGGGCTAGAAGGAGTGGGCGGTAGGGGACCGGAAGAAATCGTGTAACGGGTTCAGTGCGCTGATCCATGATGCCGCCTGGTGGAAGACGGCCGAGTTCTTTGTCGCCCTGCTGAAGCTGCCCTTTAAGGTGATGAGGCAGACGGACGGGCATGCCGTGGGGATGATGGGGAGGCTGTACGATTTGATGCTGTAGTTGACTGAGGACGTGGGGGGCTTGCTCGATGCGGACGAGGAGCAGCTGAGCGACGGGGACAAGGACAAGATCCGCCGCATCCTCAGAGACGGCTGGGACGGCAGCCTCGCATGCGCCACGCATGTCGCTGGCGGCATCCTCAACCCCGCGAATCAGGAGGAAGATATTTTCGGCATTGATCCCGAGTGCACGAAAGTCTTCAAGGCGTTCATCAGCCAGCAGGCCGAGTTCCTTGCGAGCCGCGGGGATGGGGGGGATGACGCGTGCGACATCTTGCTTGAGCTGGGGGACGGGCTGAGGGCGTTCCTTGACATGAAGGGTTCTTTTGGGATGCCGGAAGCCGTGGCACAGAGGAAGCTGGTGAAAGAGGGAAAGTATAGCATGGTGAAGTGGTGGCAGTGGAATGGGACTGATGCCCCTCGAGTGGCAGAGCTCGCGGTACGGGTGTTGTCTCAAGCCGTGTCAGCCTCACCTTGTGAGCGTGGATGGTCCTCGTGAGATGCCGTCCACACCGCACGTCGAAACAGGCTCAGATCCGCCAAGTGCAGGGACTTGGTCTATGTTGTGCACAACTGGAATGTTGTGCGCAACTGGCATACGCGCGCCGATGTCTTGCCACATGTGGTGCCCGGGATTGGAGCGGAGCCTCCAATCCCAGCGGGATACAATGGGCTGGAAGACGAGACGAAGGGAGAGGATGAGGAGGAAGGCAAAGACGACATCCTTGAAGACGAGTACGCTAACTAGAGGGGGCAAATGTGGCTTGTTGTAGGCGACTAGTCCTAAGGAGTAGTACGTAGCTTGTCTTAGAGAGAAGTGATGGTCGTGATGGAGTAGTGATGATAGTAGTGATGGTAAGTGATGATGGTAAGTGATGATAGTAGTGATGGTAGTGATGATAGTAGTGATGACACTACTTATGTGTAGGCCGTGGTATATGTGTAATGTGGAAAAAAAAAATCTCTGAAACTTCAGGCCCCATACCCCCCCCCGGCTTTTTTTGACCCTGCCCGGGAAGTTTTTTTTCTGCCTGAAAAAGCGGATTTCCAAACCCGTCCCTACAGCGTACAGCATATATAAGATTGCGTATATACGATAAGCGTTTATACGCTTGAGGCTTGCACTTGGATGGTGGGGTTCACTTGTGTAGAGGCGACCTGACTGCTCGAGGGTCGAAGCTACCGCTTCGTTGTTGTTGATTGTTGTCGGTTGGGGCAGTGCGTGCGTGGGTGTCCTCACGTCTTACAGATGTGGCAGAACGGAGGTAGAGACTTTGGTTGGTGTCGGTTGTTGTTGTTGTTATAGTGTCGCTGAGTGTGGAAAGCGAATTCCGGTGCTGACGTCTTCCTCTTGTATCTTTCTTCTTGCAGCTCCATGTCTTGTTGGTTGGCATGAACTTCAGAGCAAAGTGCTGCTTCGGAGATTCTTCCGTGAGCTCGGAGAATGGCTTTTGTGGCGCGCCATTGAGGACCGAGGCCGCCAATGATGACTGTCACGAAGGCGTCTTCAGATATCGACCCTCCGCATCGAAGGAGTTTGTCGCGCAATTCGCGACAGCGACTGATATACGCCATCCCCTTTTCCCCTGGTTTCATTTCGACCGCTGTCAGTTGCGCCATTAGTCGACTCTGACTTACGCTGTCTGTTGCTTGGTACAGGCTTTTCAAGTGGCTGTATGCGAGCTCGACGGAGTTGCCGTATCCCCGGTAAGACCGTATATTCTGTTGTTGAGTCGGGGTGATATTCCTCAGTAGGATTGTGTATGCCATCATTGACTGATAGGTGTACTGCTGCTTCTCGTACTGTGTGCCGTTTGTTATGTATGGCAGGGATCCGTCGAAGAAGCCGAGGATTTGCGCGCCTTCCATCATCAGCTCGAACTCGAATCACCAGGTAAAAGGTCCTTTCCGTCGAAAGGTCTTGATGTCTGCAGCTTCAGAACGTGCGTGAACTGCGACTGAACTTGTAGCACATCCAGTGTCTTCTCTTGTCCAGGTGCAGGCTGCGCTTGTGGCATAAAGCTGATGGAACCGCGCTGGGGCTCGTACGGAGCAAAGGTAGGTTGCTGCTGTTGATTTCCACGTGCGTAGGATGAACCATCAAGGCTCATTAGAGACACGTCATTGTTGTTGTTGCTGTTGTGTGACTGCGCAGGTGCCAATTGCTGGTGTTGCTCCCAGAAGGACATGAAGGAGAAAAACTTATGCTCTGGTCGAAACCTGCAGGTTGATTTGCAGGAGTCTCGGTGGATGTTGCCCTTGGTCTTCTTGCCGTACCCTCCTCTGTCTGTAGGCCAGAGGCAGGAGGTGGAGTAGGAGTAGTACCGGGAGAACCAATAGAGGAACTCCTTTCTTTATGAGTAGCCATGTCTTCTGATGTTGTAGGTGTTTTGATAGTTGAATTCCCCTTGATAGCTCTCATACCATGTTGGGCTGAGAAAAATAGCCCTTGGGATCTTTGCAGGGGTGAACTGTGGGTATAACTGATGTAATAGCGGAAACGTTTAATGAAGGGTTGTGAACCACCTTGCGCTAGTATGTGAGGGCAAAATTGATTGATTAAAGCAAAGAGATACAAGATTATATAGGGTACAGGGAATATGAAGAGATACAGTTATAACTACTTTACTGTTGCTGTTGCGGTTCGATACAGTGACGACTCGGGCAACTGCTCTGTAATGAGTCAGTTGTGTGTCCTTGCTGTCGCGCTGTACTTGTCAGGTCAAAGGTCGCTGACCTTTGACTTTCGCGTAACCTCCAGCAACTGCACAACCTCCGAGGGTTGACTCGCCAGTGCTTCGACATGCTTTGCTTCGCTTCTGACTTGGTGTTTCGACACGACAGAGGCGCGTAGAGTTAATTGTTTCCAACATTACACAACCATATAGCTAACTGAACGTGATGAACACGTTTCTACAAAATAATCATAAAGTGAACCCAATTAATCTCTCCACAAATGCTAACATGATGATTGTGAATTTAAAATATCGTGGGTGAATAATACTCATGCGCTACAGCGCATACTAACAAACCTAGCTAGTGCAGTACATCGACGGGATTTAATATACCTAAACGGTACAGTTTTAAACATCTTGTGAAGGGGCACACAACACAACCCAAGCTGCCTGCTACAATTGGGTTGTTGGAGATTCTCCCTTGTGGCAGGACTCCGCATTTGACTGCAGTAAGTGTTGACTGCAGTCTGGCTTCCTTCCCAGGGGAAGCGTGGGAGTGAGATGGTGGTGGGAGTGAGATGGCGTTGAGAGTGAGATGGTGGGGGAAGAATGGGGTGGATTGATTTCTCCGCACAGCTGGCTGGACTGATGCATCCGATCAAGTTATGGTCCAAAGCGACCCTCTATTTCCAGGACCCCCCCCCCCCCCCCCCCCCCCCCCCCCCCTCCACCCCTCCTCCACCCCCACCAGAGGCTCAAGATCCAGACGGCATGATCCAGAGTGTCACCTGTTACACCTACCTGCCACCTTGAGCTTCGTTTCTTGCATGGCAGGGATGGCCGTAAGTGAGAGGGCGGTGGGAGGGAGCAAGAGGGTGGCTGTCGCCAGGACGCCGTCGCGTTTGACCGTAGCGAGTCTAGGTTCCAGCCTGGTTGACTGGACCTCTTGCTGCCCCTTCAGAGTCTTCTGCATAGCAGAGGTGGTGGTGGGAGTGAGGAGGTGGTGGGAGTGAGGAGGCGGTGGGAGTGAGGAGGTGGTGGGAGTGAGGAGGTGGTGAGAGTGAGGAGGAGGTGGGAGTGAGGAGGTGGTGGGAGTGAGGAGGTGGTGGGAGCGAGGAGGTGGTGGGAGTGAGGAGGTGGTGGGAGTGCGGAGGTGGTGGGAGTGAGGAGGTGGTGGGAGTGAGGAGGGTGGTGGGAGTGAGGAGGTGGTGGGAGTGACGAGGTGGTGGGAGTGAGGAGGTGGTGGGAGTGAGGAGGTGGTGGGAGTGAGGAGGAGGTGGGAGTGAGGAGGTGGTGGGAGTGAGGAGGTGGTGGGAGTGAGGAGGTGGTGGGAGTGAGGAGGTGGTGGGAGTGCGGAGGTGGTGTGAGTGAGAGGGTGGTGGGAGTGAGGAGGTGGTGGGAGTGAGATGGTGGTGGGAGTGAGATGGTGGTGGGAGTGAGATGGTGGTGGGAGTGAGGAGGTGGTGGGAGTGAGATGGTGGTGGGAGTGAGATGGTGGTGGGAGTGATGAGGTGGTGGGAGTGAGGAGGTGGTGGGAGTGAGATGGTGGGAGTGAGAGGGTGGTGGGAGTGAGATGGTGGTGGGAGTGAGAGGGTGGTGGGAGTGAGATGGTGGTGGGAGTGAGATGGTGGTGGGAGTGAGATGGTGGTGGGAGTGAGATGGTGGTGGGAGTGAGATGGTGGTGGGAGTGAGGAGGTGGTGGGAGTGAGGTGTTCACTTCATCTACATCCACCTCGCCCAGGCTGGGTGGGGATGTGCTGCCCCTATCGGTTCCCATCATTCCCCCATCCATTCGCCTGAATTGCTAAGAACCGTGTGTGCGCACCTTCGGCTGGTCCCACTAAAACCAATCTGAGCCTCAATAATGTTGGAAATGCCCATCACTCATGCCCATCACTCATGCCCATTACTCATGCCCATCACTCATGCCCATCACTCATGCCCATCACTCATGCCCATCACTCATGCCCATCACTCATGCCCATCACTCATGCCCATCACTCATGCCCATCACTCATGCCCATCACTCATGCCCATCACTCATGCCCATCACTCATGCCCCATCACACTCATCACCCTTCACCCATGCACCCTTCCCCACCCTTCCCCACCGCGTGTTACCCGTACCACATCCCATCTCAACCTCTCGTCACCTTCCCCACCTTACCTTGGCCAGTGAGCGTTCTTCAGCAGCCAGGCAGCCTGTGCGCCCCATTGTCGTCCAGAGGGGATGCCCACGGCACGCCACTCACCCGCCACTCACCCGCCACTCACCCGCCACTCACCCGCCACTCACCCGCCACTCACCCGCCACTCACCCGCCACTCACCCGCCACTCACCCGCCACTCACCCGCCACTCACCCGCCACTCACCCGCCACTCACCCGCCACTCACCCGCCACTCACCCGCCACTCACCCGCCACTCACCCGCCACTCACCCGCCACTCACCCGCCACTCACCCGCCACTCACCCGCTACTCACCCGCTACTCACCCGCCACTCACCCGCCACTCACCCGCCACTCACCCGCCACTCACCCGCCACTCACCCGCCACTCACCCGCCACTCACCCGCCACTCACCCGCCACTCACCCGCCACTCACCCGCCACTCACCCGCTACTCACCCGCTACTCACCGCCACTCACCCGCTACTCACCCGCTACTCACCCGCTACTCACCCGCTACTCACCCGCCACTCACCCGCCACTCACCCGCCACTCACCCGCCACTCACCCGCCAGTCACCCGCCAGTCACCCGCTACTCACCCGGCAGCGCGGGCGGTTCAAAGACTGGCACGATGAATGAGACATGGCAATCGCTGTCCATCATCTTCTGGCTCATAATGGGGAAAGTGCAGTGCAAGCAAGAGGGTATGCATGAAGCGACTTGACCTTCGTCATAGCAACTGCTTACTCCCTACTTGCATTTTCTCCGGATTCAACCCCACTCACACCACCTCCCGCTTCCGCCTGGTCTCGCCTTCCTTCCACCACCACAGTCAGCACCGCTCATTCCCCACTACACATTTACCACATGAATGAATCACCATCTATAACACACACACTTCTTGCATTCCCCTCCCACCCTTCCCTCCATTTTGCCAGGTCACTCGCGTGGAGTCACCTTGACCAACCCTTCACTAACCTGCACTCACCTTGGCAAGGCAACATTTGGAAAGAAACCATTTCCCACCTCAGCCTGCACTCACAACAGCCAGGAACCTCATTCCTCACCTCACCAGCCGAACCACCATGAACACTCCCATTTGCCCCCCCATTCACCTCAGCCAGCACTCACCCCTCACACATGGACATCCAGAATACAAGACAGCTGAGCCATGCCCCCCCATTCACATCTTCCTTTTCCCCTGTCTTTTCTGAGCCGACTCAGAAACCATGCTCGATGGTGCTGTTGAATGGCGAGTGATCGACTCACCGCCTCACCTGCTGCATGCCTCCACCTCTGCCATTTCACCGCGCTGCCTTTTTGCCCTATCTTCTTTTCCCTCCAATCACCTCCCGTTCCTTATCCTCCCCTCCCTTCTCCCCTGCTTGCCCCTTCTCCCCTCCAATACCTCCTCCCTTTCTCCTCTCTCGCCTTCGCCTACCCACTCGTTCTCCATCCACGTGCCTCTCCTCCACTCTCCCCTCCACTCCCTGCCCCTTCTCGCGCCTGTTTCCACCCCTCCGCCTGTCCACTGCTTCCCTTGCTCCCACCCCTCACCTCGTTTCCGTCAAACCCAAGCCACGGGCTCCCGCATCCTCACTTACTTCCCCCTCCCCTCTCTGTGCCTCCCCTCGCCGCTCCGCCTCCCCTACTGCACCTACTGCACCTACTGCACCCCCCGTGTTTCGCCTCTCCTACTGCATGCCTCGCCTGCTGCATGCCTCGCCTGCTGCATGCCTCATCTGCTGCATGCCTCATCTGCTGCATGCTTCACCTGCTGCATGCCTCATCTGCTGCATGCCTCATCTGCTGCATGCCTCATCTGCTGCATGCCTCATCTGCTGCATGCCTCATCTGCTGCATGCCTCATCTGCTGCATGCCTCATCTGCTGCATGCCTCATCTGCTGCATGCCTCACCTACTGCATGCCTCACCTGCTGCATGCCTCACCTGCTGCATGCCTCACCTGCTGCATGCCTCACCTGCTGCATGCCTCACCTGCTGCATGCCTCCGCGCCTACATGTGTCTGAGGTCGCCTGTATTCTGCAGGGTGTTCTTGAGGATTCTGAAACCTCCTCGCCTTACCTGCTGCATGCATGCATGCCCATGCCACATTCGTCTCCTCCACCTCCCCGTCCTTCTCCTCCAACCGCTCTTCCTTCTTTCCCTCCTCTTCCTTCTCCTCACCCACTGCACTCTTCCACCTTGCCCTCCTCATCACCTTTGCTCCTCTCAGCCCTCGTCATTTCTTCCTCTTTCCATTGCTGCTCCATCTCTTCTCCCATCTCTCTTCCCTTCTCGCCTTTCTTTCTCCACCCTTGTCCTCGCCTAACCACTGGTTTCCATCCACCTCCCTATCACCCACTGTCCTGACCACGCTCTTCCCCCACTCTTGCACCTCTTCTCCCACTCCTGCACCTCTTCCCCCACTCCTGCACCTCTTCCCTGCATGCTTCCTACTCTACCCCCGCCCGCCCCTCCTCCCCCCTACCCTCCATCCCACCTTCCCTGCGGTTGGGATGGGATGGGCGGTTGGGAATGGGTAGATAGGGGTGCTGCGTGCAGTGGCGGCATCTGATGGGATGCGTGGTGATGTGTTGGGATAGGGGCAGCGTCAAGGCCACCTGAGGAGACTGCAAAGGGTTGGGATGGGATGGGTGGTTGGGATGGGATGGGCGGTTGGGAATGGGTGGATAGGGGTGCTGTATGCAGTGGCGACATCTGATAGGATGGGTGGTGATGTGTTGGGATAGGGGCAGCGTCAAGGCCACCTGGGGAGACGACAGAGGAGTGGGTGGGGTGGGTGGTCGTGGTGAGGCTGGTTGGATAGGGATACGTGGAACTTTGAATGCTGCATGCAGCAGCTTCTGATAGGGTGGATGTGAGGGCTATCTCAAGACCACCTGGGGATTGGGCGGAAGAGGGGTGGGGAGGGTGGGCGGGGGTGGTTTAAACATTGAGTGGTGCATTCGCACACAGCCCACCTCAAGACCATCCAACAGAAGCGATAAACGGTGATGCGAAATCACAGGAATGTTTTGCATAATAATCACCCCCCCAATCTCCTCGCCCACTCCATTCTCCTCACCCTTCCCCCCATTCTCCCCATCGTTGCACACCATTCACTGTCAGCACTCCCTCCCGCCCCTTCACCTGCCCCAGGCACCCCTTCCACTTGGTGGTAAGCAGCACGCCCATTGGAGAAGCGCGCTGAGCTCGGGGGTGAGCACCTGGCGAGCACCTGGCGAGCACCTGGTGAACGAGGAGTTTGAGGTGGGGAGAGAAAAGACGTGAGGAGGAGGGGTGCGGAAATTTGACGTGCCGGAGGACATTGATGCGGGGGAGGAGATGGGTGTGAGGGAGGAGATGGGTGTGAGGGAGGAGATGGGTGTGAGGGAGGAGATGGGTGTGAGGGAGGAGATGGGTGTGAGGGAGGAGATGGGTGCAGTGCAGCGAGGGGTGTGGATGCAATCACCAAGGCAAGGTGTCAGGTGCGCGTCACAACCATAACTCAGTGGCGTTGAATGGCAAACAACCGACTCAGCGCCTCACCTGCTGCTTGCCTAACCTGCTGCTTGCCTAACTTGCTGCTTGCCTAACCTGCTGCTTTCCTAGCCTGCTGCTTTCCTAACCTGCTGCTTGCCTAACCTGCTGCTTGCCTCACCTGCTGCTTGCCTAACCTGCTGCTTGCCTAACCTGCTGCTTGCATAACCTGCTGCTTGCCTAACCTGCTGCTTGCCTAACCTGCTGCTTTCCTAACCTGCTGCTTGCCTAACCTGCTGCTTGCCTAACCTGCTGCTTGCCTAACCTGCTGCTTGCCTCACCTGCTGCTTGCCCACCTGGTGCTTGCCTAACCTGCTGCTTGCCTAACCTGCTGCTTGCCTAACCTGCTGCTTGCCTAACCTGGTGCTTGCCTAACCTGCTGCTTGCCTAACCTGCTGCTTGCCTAACCTGCTGCTTGCCTAACCTGCTGCTTGCCTCACCTGCTGCTTGCCTCACCTGCTGCTTGCCTAACCTGCTGCAAGAGGTCGTATGAGTTTCCTTTTTCGCCTCGCTGCCTTCTTTCCCTCTCTTCTCTTCCCCTCCCTTCTCCTCCCCTGCTTACCCCTTCTCCCCTCCAATCTCTCTGTCCTTTCTCCTCTCGCGCCTTCGCCTACCCACTCGCAGCCCCCATCGCGGCTCTCTACAGGCGCTCCTCCGCGGCCCCCTCTTGCGCCCCTCCTCTGGTCCCTGGTGGCGCGCTTTCCCCCTTTCCCTCTCTCCCGCCCTTCCTCACCCCTCCGCCTGCCCCTTCCCCCATCCTCCGCACTCCTGCTCCGCTCCCTGTCGCCTCGTTTCCGCCAAACCCAAACTCCACGCGCCCGCATTCCCCCTTCCCCCTCCCCTACCTACGCCTCCCCTCCCCGCTCCGCCTCCCCTTCCCAGTGAGTGAGGCCGGCCGCCACTGCTAACCACATCTGCGTCCCCCCTCCCACAAGGGCGGAAGCCAATTTGCGTGGACTCTCGCGGAGGCGGGGGTAGAGGCGCGCACGCAGCGAGGATCGCGGCGGCCAATGCCACCGCCGCGTCGGCCTTTGCTGCTCGCAGCGACGCTGCTACTTCCGCTGCTGCCGCCGCCGGGAGACCCGCCTTCGTTTTCGTCGTCTACTGTTGCTCTTTCGTCGTCTACCGCCACTCGTCGTTCGTCGTCTATTATCGCCTGTCGCTCTCTCGTCGTCTACCGCCACTCGTCGTTCGTCGTCTACCGTCGGTCATCGCTCTCTCGTCGTCTACCGTCGCTCGTCAGCTGTTCCGTTTTTGTCGTCCACAGTTCCTTTTTCGCCGTCTCCCTGTCTGCCGCTTTTACACGGCCGCTATCGAGCCACTAACGCAGGTGCTGTGTATTCCTTCGAAAATTTTGATTCAATGAAAAAACTGTTATGAGTGCGAGGCTTTTGCAAACTAGAAACCTACAGAACAGAATGTCCCACGGCTGTTTAAAACAGGGACCAAAGTAGGCATAGCCGAGCTAGGCATGGACCTAGGGAGCGAGGCTCGGAACAAGGCGAAAGGTCCGTAAGCGAGTCGAAAGTGGTTCGGGGCGAATAATAGGCCGAACCAGTTGAAGCGAACTCTTCGGAACATACAAACCAGAGTGATCTACAGCAGAAACTTGTAATTCCTTAAGAAAACTTAACGTAATCAAACGAGTTCGACGTACTATTTTAAATCCCCCCAATCAATCTCTCCGCAAATTCTACGAGATACTTGCTAAGTTCAACCATTGCTGGAAACCATTAACGCGCTACAACGCATGCAAACTACTTAGCTAGTGCGTCTCAATTACGTATCTCAAGCATATAACTTCATTCAAACAATTTCTAGACAGAGGTAGCCTTCCTGGCTCTTGGACCTCTTGCTGCTTGCATGCATGGCAGATATGGTGGTGGGAGTGAGATGATAGTGGGATTGAGATGATAGTCGGGGTGAGATAATAGTGGGAATGAGAAGATAGTCGGGGTGAGATGATAATGGGAATGAGTCAGGGCTGATTTTATCAGACTATTTTAGTTGATTGTCTGAAATCTCAGACTCTTTTTTTCGCCTTTCCTGAAATTTCAGTATTCCTGTATTTTGAACTCTGAAGGCCTCAGACCTGTTAGTTTTTGAACTCTGAAGGCCTCAGAGTACTTCATTGTGCGATATTGAGACTCGAGACTACAGGGAGTATGGCCCCTGAAATTGCCGAATTTCAGTCCTCCCCCCTCCCCCTCTATCGAATTACATTCAATTCCCCCCCTGCCCCCCCCTCCCCCCCTCCCCCTTCCCCCGCCCCCTCTTACTCCTGCTTCTCGCCAACTCCGCAACGTTTTCCCTAGGCCAAACTCACTTGACAGATACTCGCTATTAACCAACTCGGATGTGGTTTTACAAACTTAAAACTTTTCAGACTAATGATTTTTTTCAAACCTGACATTTCAGAGTACTCAGAACTTGGGAAATGACCCTCAGACTAAACGATTTTTTCCTCCCCTGCTTCAGAGTGGTTTTTTTTTTTTTTACGTCAGCCCTGGAATGAGATGATAGTTGGTGGGAATGAGATGATAGTGGGAGTGAGGTGGTGGTGGGAGTGAGATGATAGTGGGAGTGAGATGGTGGTGGGAGTGAGATGATGGTGGGAGTGCGATGGTGGTGGGAGTGAGACGGTGGTGGGAGTGAGACGGTGGTGGGAGTGAGATGGCGGTGGGAGTGAGGTGGTGGTGGGAGTGAGATGAAAGTGGGAGTGAGGTGGTGGTGGGAGTGAGATGGTGGTGGGAGCGAGATGGTGGTGATAGCAGGCCCTCAGATTTGTTGTAAGACCTCAAGGCAAACCTTGTGGCCCTCAAGTCAGGCCCCATAGCAGGCCAGACCAGGCCAGACCAGGCCAGGACCAGGCCAGACCAGGCCAGACCAGGCCAGGACCAGGCCAGACCAGGCCAAACAGGCCATACCAGGCCAGACCAGGCCAGACCAGGCCAGACCAGGCCATACCAGGCCATACCGGCCATACCAGGCCATACCAGGCCATACCAGGCGAAACCAGGACACAGCAGGCCAGGGCGGGCATGCCTGACTAGGCCACAACAGATCGGGACGAGAATAAGTGCAGGCTCAGACAATGCAAAACAATGCAAGACAAGACGTAAACCCTGATGTTGGAATGCCCATGGCGTCCCATCCATGCATTGGAAGAGATGGACGTTGATTCAAGTGGCATGCGAGTGGAATGCAGGCAGCGAAGGCATGCATGGGAGGGGAGGGGAGGAATATTCAGGTTAGTGTGCTGCCAGTGGGTGCTCCTCTCAGTCAGGCCGCCCTCCTCTCCTCTCCACCGAGGTCGCTGTGGTCTCCAGCGCTCACCACAATGTCTTTATGAATTCGGTATAACAAGATCAGACAAAGGCTATTGCGCTGCACTTGTCACTGCATGGAGTTGTGAACACCAGGCTATGCAGGTGCACCTTGTCACTGCACCCCCACCACCTCTACCCACTTCATGCCCCTCCCCCCCCCCCTCCCCCCCCCTCCTCCAACCTCCCTCTGCTTGTTACAGCAGCTGCTATTGTGTGGCATGCTCCTAGTGTTCCAGCGACCTTGAGGGGATTCTGCTGAGTGAAGAACATGCACGGGTGAAGGGCAGGAATGAGTGAATGGCAGGCATGGGTAGGTTCAGAGACGCAAGGGCGGTTCATTGAGGGAAGCAAGTTTGATTCCAAAATGGCAGTGGAGTGGGATGCACACTGTAGCATGATGTATGGGATGAGATGAGGTATGGGATCAAATGCGCCTTAGTGGGATGGAATGGATGTCTAAGTAGTATCTTCTCCAATTAGTCGCACAACATGGCTTCTCTTATATGCTTTCTAAATGAAGCAATCCCATCATAATCTGAATGCCTTTAGGAGAAAGAGGGGGATGGAAGTGGAAACAAATGGAAAAGAAGAGCGGGGATGATTGAGATGCAAGGAGCAACGTGCTCTGCTTGTTCTTTTTTCGGAATTCGACGCTTGCCTACAAAGGAGGGATTCACAAAGTAACAAAATGCAAGTCCTACAAGCAAGTGTGACGGGGTTAATGCAAAAGAGATTGCAAATAGTAGCAATTGCCAACCGCTTTTATACATGCTGATTCAAGGATTCATTCTAAGCGCTGAGGAGAAAGCAGTCCTTCCTTAGATGGCATGTGCTGTCAAGGCATGTGCTGTCAAGTCATGTGCTGTCAAGGCAAGCGTGATGTTCTAAAATGGACTACTTAGTTAACTCTTACATATGCTTAACGCAAGTGCTAGAATGCTTCGAGGTAAAAGTGGTGTTGAAAGAGCATGCAGGGGTTCACGTGTATGCCTCCCTGCAGTGTAGGAATGCCTGTAGAATCAGTTGAATCAATTCAGCTCGCACAGCAGCAATATCCTTGATCACAATTTTCCTCCATTCGCCAAAGCTTTTGAGTCCTTTGACGCTCCGTACCTATGACCCCCCACCATCTCTATTCCATGCTTTCAAAGCTTAGCAAGCACTGTAAACAGTCGTCAAGTCGTGCACGGCGGCGTCACGTCAGGCGTGCACGACTAGACGAGCGTTGCGAACTAGATTGCACTTTTGAGGGAATCTGTTGCAAAGTAGTTATTCGACTGCAAAGGAATTGCCAAGAGCATAAAGCGATGACTGCATTGTGATTGCTTGCTATGGCGCTGCTGCTTGTCTGTGTTGGGGGTGCGCTAGTTTGTGCACAAGGTGAACTTTAAGAAAGGAGGTGGATGGCATGATGGGAGCCGGTATCGATGCGTTTATACGATTAGATAATTGACAACAGGAAGGAAGGCGGAGAAGATAGGGGAGAGATGAGCGAAGGCGCTGGATAACCTGATCGGGGTGGCGGGAGAATTGGTTGGATGTTGGGTATGACAATTGGTGACAGATATTGCCACTACATCCTGCGACACTTCTCTTCTCTTACCTCTATCGCCGTGCAGCGCCGCCATGCCACCAGCTGAGAGGCCGGCATCGAATAGCGAGGCCTTGATATCGCAAAGACATCGACCCTAGTACGTGGTTCCCCTCGTGTATCTTGCCACCTTCACAAGCCATGTGTGGTTGAATGCCGACCCTGGCGACATTCTTGAGCCAGTGTGAATGCCGACAAAAGGACACCGTACGTAATCTGAGTAGGGATGTGCCTGACGAATAGGCGTGTGCCTGAAATAGGGGTGTGCCTGACGAATAGGGATGTGCCTAACGAATAGGGACGTGCCTGACGAATAGGGGTGTGCCTGACGAATAGGGATGTGCCTGACGAATAGGGATGTGCCTGACGAATAGGTGTGTGCCTGACGAATAGGGATGTGCCTGACGAATAGGGGTGTGCCTAACCTCACCTGTGAGGCCGACCTGGAGTGTGTGCCCATGCGATGCCTCACTTGACCTGTATAAGTATCTGACTGACTTCTGGTGCATGCCTAACACAGAATGGAGTGTGCCTGACCTAGAGTGAATCCTTCGAACCAGTCACCTCGCCGCTGTCTCGAGGTGTGGTTGAGCCGGCCCAGCATGTGAGACTGGTCTGTGCTCGCACCTTTTCATGCTTCACATGCTTCCAAGCCCCGCATCCACCCACTCGTCACTCCTGACTGGCCCCTCGCCCCACGAATGCCGCTGCTGCTGCAACCTGTGGCCAGCGAAGAGAAGGTGATGTTGTTGGTGAGGGAAGGTAAAGGGAGCGGGAGTGAGTGTGGGAGAAGAGAAGGTGGTAGGGGCGTAGTGCTGAGCGAGGAGGGGAAAAGCTTTTGGTAAATCAGTGTAGACGTTCATCCTTCCATAAGCAAACTGGGCGTGGATCAGCTAACAGCCACTCATACAAGCTCTCAAACACGGCTTTTTCTGCCTCCCTCGTTGCCTGCGAGTCCCCGTTTGCATGATCGTACTCAGCCCAGTGC